GCGAACGCTCTAACCACTGCGCCACGCGGGCGACTATATTTGATTGAAAGTTAGGAACAAAGATTTTCTATAATTCCTCCTGAAAATGTAATTAGCCTATTGGTAAAATGGATTAATTTGACGATTATGTCTTGAACAAATGTAATAACAGTGTACGTAAAACTTTATTTTTAATTTAAGGTAAAAAGCCCGCTTTCTATTTGGATTTGCCATGGAACTGCTCTGTGCGTCAATGTCCCGATGAATTGTTAGGAAAGGTGTACACAGACATCGGTGACAATTTTGTTTATAATCATACTTCAAGGAATTTTTCCTCAACAAGCCCAGGCCTTATCAATGCTAATAGTGAATGGGATCGATTTGTACCCGTTTCATTCACGCAACCCTATTCAATGCGTCTACATTCCCAGTCTTACAATGGATATCTTGGATTAAGCGAAATTGCCAAAACACGAATGTTTTTTAAAAATTATTTTATCTCTATTATTGTTAAAATATATTTCTTATACCTTTTAGTCCCTTTCAATACATTCAATTGTTTAAAATGTTGTCTAATCTGGAATGTTGTCAATTTCATTCGAACTAGAGTTTTCCAAAGATTTTTAAAGATTTTTTCCTATGTGCTTACATGAAACAATTTGAATCTGTATTAAGGTCTCGGCATTCCCTCATGGGCAGTGATTTAAACAATTAAGAATATTAAGAATAAATATTAATGCCAAGACCTTTTCACGAAAGATTTCTTTTTTTCTACCCAAGAGGTTCTTAAGTAAACGTGTTTTAGTGTCCCTACCCTATTTTTATTTTTTTTTCTTACCTATTTCCCGTTTGAATGTGACATGCTCCCTTATTTGAAAAAAATTAGAATTCCCTTTACCCAGGGATGCTTGTATTTACTTTGGTTAGAATTCGTCCAGTGGTTCCTGAGAAGATGTCAGAAATGATGACTAAGTGTATAGACTGATAAACAGACAGACATATAAATGTTGAATAATACGAGCATCTGATAGGAAAACAAAATCAATCCTACATTGTAATTACTCATTTTTTTTTATTTTGATAATAGTCTTCTTTTATTTATGAATACTTGTCATTACTGCACCCTAATTTCAGGGTACTTTTGTGTAGTTAAACTGACCCATCATTTGACATACTGTAGATTCCTGAATATACGCGAGGAATAAATTATCGCGTAATTACGCGAGAAGCACCGCTCGCAAAATAAAATTACTCGCTTTTATTGTTATGGTGCTTTAATGTATGTAAAATCTCTAGATAAATCAACCATTTGCGAATTATTATTCTCGCGATTTGACGCCCTTGGGTCATTTCGCGATAATAAGTACTCGCGTAAAATAGGGAATCTACAGTATTAAATAGAAGAAACCGTAATCTGAACTGTATATCATAATTTAAAATAAATCCAAGTACTCTAAACATTGTATTAGACCAAGATTAAGTAGTTAAAAACTTTATTTGCATGTATTTTCTCTATAAGAGTAAGCAAATGTTATTTTTCTTTATCATTACTTCATTGTTTTTTTTTTAAGATTTTTCCTGGATAAAAAAGGCATGCTCCCTTAATTAATAATGAATTAGTTAATTTCAAAATATCCCTCTTTATGCTATATAATTTTCTCAAAGTCCAAAAAACATTTTTCATCAGTGTATAGAGGGTCTTTAAAAAAAACAATAAATTAAATTCTAGGTGCATATCCTTTCTTTGGCTGCGCCATCCGTCCTGTGGATTTGAATGGAACAGCGGTAAACTGTAAATTTTTCACTGGCATGAGTCTTCTACCAGGCCTCTATTCTCCTAATACGGGGACGTTTATTGCGCCTCACTCTGGACTGTATGCATTTGTGTTAATCATCCATTTCCCGTGGAACACGGGAACGATTTCCATTCTTGTGAACTCATCCGCAAAAGTCCACATAGCATTAAGGAGTATTTACACGAGAAGTTATTGGTATGCATATAAGATTTACCCTGTTCTACATCTCAACGCTAGGGACCAAGTGTCTGTACAACTATCAGCTGCAGGCATTTGTAGAGCAACTATAGAATTTGGAGGTTGGCTTGTTATTTAAATTGCCAAAACTTAAGAAAGTGTGTTTTATCATTGTTTCTTGTTTTTGATATTTTTAGTTATTTTTTTTACATTGTAACATTAAAGTAAATCTATATTTACTTTTAGGGATTTAAATGTTTTCATGATTTCCAATGGATATTGATATTAACACAAAATGACAGTTCTAAGAGCATAATTGTAGGGAATGGATAAAAACAATGGCTTGATAGGAAACTTTCTAACAGTTATGTGTTACAATGTATGGCGAAACCTGTCTAAACTGCTTTTAAAAGTTACCCTTTTAAAAGGTATTTTAGAGTATACTTTTAAAAGGTATTTTATTATTGAAAATTATATCAAATAGAAACAAAATACTATGAACACGTTCAATTGAAAATTTTGATACACTCTACAAAAGTATTTTAAATAATTTCGCAGACATTATCGAAATTCTGAATGAAATAATTCTGCAATATTCTTGCGATGAAAGTTTCTTTAGAAAGAATTAAGGCCTATCTTTTACACTTGTTATTGTGACCTCAAAGTTCAGTACTCCTGCTTTACATTGACTGCACTCAATATTGGTTGTCCTTGATGTCAAATTAGTAACCTTTTTTGTCGTTCTTTTCTATTTTTAAGGCGTTTCAAGATACCGAGGACGTTTCTAAGAAAAAAAAGTTTCTCGTTGGTGAATTTATAGTTAAATAGTCAAACTGACATACGGGTGAAAACAAATCACAAATCAGATCTGACTGTTGAGGGGAGGTAACGAATGTAAATATTCTTGTTAATTTTAGTGACCAAGAAAGCATTTACCGGTATATGTGGTTTTAGCGATCACATATTCATAAGTTTGAACAACTGTAAATCTGAAAAAAGCAATATTTTCCCGAATTTTGGTTGAAATGGAACATTTAAGTCCGAGAAATGGAACAACCATATATTCAATTTGCGTTTTAATAATGAGGTAAATATAAGGTACGTACAGCAATGCAACAATGTTAACAAACTTTCAGATAAAAGGTAACTCCGATTCATTTGAATTTGAAAAAAGAAGTTTCTATTAGATTACACTTTCTTAAAATTGTAAAAAAAAAAATTATAAGTTCTCGTACATATGGACTATTTATAAAATTGTCAGACTGATGGAATTCATCTCCGCTAGAATAATGGAGTTTGGTCAAGGTGCAATCCTTGACAGCTGACATTGTTCATGCACCAATTGCAAGAACTGGGAAGTAAATTTATTCTTAGAATTCAAAAAAAAATCTTGTTAAGAATATATTGGAATTCTTTCTAAAAAGATATTCAAATACAACTTTGCCGGAATTAATTATATTTAAATGCAAGTATCCTCAAGAAGTGCCGATTCATATTCTTTCAAATTATGGCCACAGACAAGGGGGTCACAATTGAATAGTTTTTTTATGGATAGAGGCGAAAATCATTCTCCCAAGAACAACAGAGGCATCATTTGACAGTGACATTTGAAAAGTCCAAGCACAGTATGCATATGTTTTAAATAGATGAACAACATAAAACTCATATTTTCAACTTATAGTAATAAAACATGCAGCTTATTTCAAAGAAATTACTACAAAGCATTTAGGTCAATTTAATTTTTTTTCCTTATTGCAACAAACACATTTCATGATACATGTGATACATGACAAACGATATTTTTGATATGAACATTTTTGACAGCTGTATACACGTAACTACCCTAACAAAAAATATAATAGTAAGCTATAGTTAACTATAGTTTACAATACTTAACTATAGTGATAACTTTGACACTTTGATTTCCAAAGTGATCAATTGAAAACTTTGATTTACTATAGTGATCACTATGACACTATAGTGATCACTATGAAAACTTTGAAATACTATAGTGATCACCATGAAAACTTTGATTTACTAATGTGAAAACTTTGATTACCTATAGTGATAACTTTGATTTACTATAGTGATAACTTTGATTTACTATAGTGATAACTTTGATTTACTATAGTGATAACTTTGATTTACTATAGTGATAACTTTCAAAACTTTGAATTACTATAGTGTTCACTATGACACTATTATGATCACTTTGAAAACTTTGATTTACTATAGTGATAAATTTGAAATTTTGATTTACTATAGTTAACTATAGTAAACTATAGTTAACTAAAGTTCACTATAGTTCACAATAGTATTTCTTGTAAGGGGAAATATCTTGTGGCTTTAAGTTGTGGTAAGAGAGACAAACTTTCTCTTCTGAATAGGATGGATTGAAGCTGTTGAAATATTAATTATACTTAATGAAAAAAATGTATATCAATTAGCAATCAAATAAATCTATATCCTTAAAAGGCTTGACTAAATAACAATACATCAAATGTCCGAAAGTGAATTGAAAATATAGATAAGGGACTCCTCTTTATTATGCGAAATGTTACTGCATTCCTTTTTATTACGGTTATAACTATTTTCAACGTATAACAGACCAATAAATCTATCGTGGTATTTAAAAAAATGTTTCAATATTTCCCTTTTTTTAGCTAAACAACTAAATAATAATGAAAAATGAAAGAATGTCAGTACTTAGTGATTTGGATTTATCCAGGTTTAAAATTCACCTTTTCCTTCAAATGAGTTATTATTTGTGTCCCATGACCGAGGACATGCATTAATACATTTACATGTCCAAGAGAACGTTTTTGTTTGGGGTACCTTAATCAAAAAGCACGTGTTTTCTTACAAAAAATTATCCAGATGAGTAAATTTGGAATTTTTTACATGCATTTTCAGAAATTTACGAATGCAATTACAACAATCAATTTTTTTTCTTTAATTTAAAATACGACACCATTTATATTACAAAGTATACGAATTAAACCTGACAAAAGCATAAAAAGAATATGTCATCACACAAACTGTAAACGGAAATTGCAGGTCATTGCCTCAAGGACAGGATTTCCTGAGGCATTCTTTAATCTTTCAAAACACTTTGTTTTCATTCAATATCACTGTTTAGTTCTGTTTTACAACGTTTCACTGCATTTTTTAGATTTATGTCTCTTTCTCAGGAACAGAGTCAGCCTTCTCCGTCACTCAATCATGGTTCCCTGTAAATAGAGAAAAGCATAAAAGCCAAGTTAACGAGTATTCACATGTCAGATACTCCAGACTACATGTACGTACCTCTCATCAAACAAACCACAATACAATAGAAAAAAGAGGTCAATGGGCCACAATACTCATGTTAGAAGCTTTTGCTATGCTAAAATTTAAAAGATTTTTTAAAAACATTACCCCAGGGGCAAAATGGGGGTCAAACAAAAACTTAATCATGAAATGTGGAGATAACAAACAATATTCAAGCTCATAATTTCATTCAAACAATACAAACAAGGAGCTGAGCAAACACGGGCCTCTAAAACATCAGGTCACTGTGATCTACATGATGTTATTGACTTACCAAAAATTTGGAGTTTTTCTAAAAGTCCTTTGGAGTTTTTGATAATCCACATCTGATTTTCACTACTAGTAGAGTATATTGAATACAATAAACAGAAATTTCAAAATTAAGTGAAAATATATATTATTATGCAATCTTCAACTGTATGCTATGTATTTCAAATATGCAAACGTTTAATCGAAATAAACATACCTACATAAAAGACGTAACAAGTTTTTTTCTCATCACAGAGTAAAGTGCAGGGAACTAATTTTGATACATAAATCAGCATTAGCATAATCAAAATAATCATCAGCATCCAGCTAGCATTAGCATCAGCATTTAAAACTAAGGATAATGTCAGTGTCAGCATTGTCAGCAAAGAAAAAATAACAGTTCTAGCGTTGCTATTAATTCAGAATCAGGAATTTGCTGATTTTTTCTAGCAATAAAATAGAATTAGACGAAGAAGGTTGATTTATTAATTCCAAATATATAGATTATAATTATACGAGTATATCTTAATAGAAATTGTGTATATAAAACCTGTGAATTTCAACTATTTTCTTTCGCTAGCATGATGCTACGTCAGCTTGCATTGACCTAGTTTTGAAACATCAGGATAGATAAAAATAACTGGCATTACTAGCATTAAGTCAGCAAGCAAAATAAACATTAAAATCAAGCAATCCAAGGACTTTAACAAATAAGCATTGATATTGTAGCAGATTAGTTCCCAGCAGTGTACCTGTACAAATTAGACATTGTGATACGAGAGACATGTAAATAAGCATTGATATTGTAGCAGATTAGTTCCCAGCAGTGTACCTGTACAAATCAGACATTGTGATACGAGAGACATGTAAATAAGCATTGATATTGTAGCAGATTAGTTCCCAGCAGTGTACCTGTACAAATCAGACATTGTGATACGAGAGACATGTAAATAAGCATTGATATTGTAGCAGATTAGTTCCCAGCAGTGCACATGTACAAATCAGGCATTGTGATACGAGAGACATGTAAAATGTATTCTTATTGACGACAATTTCTGTTCAGTATTCCCTTCACTACTTATCTGTACTCATATACATTAGCACTTCCCAAAGACTATAGTGAAATCAATATACCAATATTTGAAGACATTTAAGAAATGAATTTAATTTTTGAAGATTCATGAGGACATGAACTATGACGCTTCATGATAAATATGCCGGCGTGAAGCGTTGTAGTTCATGTACCTCATGAATTTTCAAAAATTAAATTCATTTCTAATATTTACATTATTTTTCTGATGATTTGCCGCGAATAACGCCATTCAACTGTCATTTTTAAAGCAAAAAGTTTGCACTATAGTTTTGACATCAAGTAAGGTATTATGACGTAACAATGGAGATATTCATGCCCATTCATAGTAGTTCATGAGAAAATGAACTGTATTCTATTCTATAAAGAATCATAGGGGGAATTTATTGGAAATGTAAATATTTGGGGATATTGCATTTCATTTGAAGACATTTTGAGATATTGCATTTCATTTGGAGGTATTGGAGTTATGGAATTTCATGCAATGCAGCTCCATGTAAAAAGATAACGTTGCGATCTTGTTTAAAACACAATGTATGACACGATGATGAAAACTAACCCACACACTGGGATTCTGACGTTGAACCATCTGACAGAGTGTAAATATTTACAGGACCGGGACATGCTTTGCAGCTGGTCTGTCCTGTACTATTCTGATAGAAGTTTCTTGGACATTTCTTACACACATCCATTGTAGTGTCATGATATGTTCCTTCTTTACATGCCTCTGAAAAAGTTAAAATAAGTATGCATAAAACGTGTGATTGCATATAAAATCCTCTGTATTCAGGTTTTTTTCTACACAGTAAGTTGATTTGCAAGATATTTCATGTATGTAAGGATGCAGTTTATTCGTGTAGGGATAATGCATAGAGTCATAAAATAGATGCATCTAACATGATTTACATTTACCACAATATTCTTTTCTAAAAATGATAATCAAGCTTACGATGCATGTCAATATTCATATTTTTCAAAGTCGATGGACATAAATATGATGTTTCATTTAATTATCCTGTATGTTACAAAGTCCGTAGAAAAATATTATGCTTGTAAAGAACACAGATATTTAAAACAAGATTAGCTTCAACTTTGATATCGGAAATTCTGTTGCAATATTGTAGTTAATTATTTCATTGACATAAAAAAGAAACTTCATCAACTTTTATTTTTGAATTTATGTTTGCGATGGAAGAATAATTCTAAGCTTTGATCGAAGCAAAATTACATTATTGTCATCCTGTACAATATTGATTTGTAATATAATACTATACATTCCATTGTACAGAAATTTTTCTTCTGAAACAATTTAATACTTTATTTTAGACTAATTGATAATAAAGATTTAAGGTATGTCACTCGTGAAATAAGCTATATCAAGGATTTTTTGAGAAGTATATTTTAGATAAGTACTCATATAGCATGACTCAAAATTGCAAAGAAAATGGTTGGCAGTGTGCATCTTACTGAGCTACGGTACAAATAATTTGACCTTTTTGCACTTAAATTGTAACTCTTAGGTTAATCACTTTATTATCTATCATATTTTATCAGATGTAATTAGGCAATAAATATAATCTTATTTTGCGTAAATAGTCTGAATAATATTTATCATTGAACAAATCATGCAAATTAATGCGCATAAATTATTGTGTGACCTTTTTGCACTAAAAAGTATCATATTTGGGGTATAAAAAAATCTAAATAGGCAATAAAATATTTTCTTGTATCAAACTTTTTATGACTTAAGTGCTGATCGGTTGGAAGTATCATGTTGTTTAAAATAATGAAAGAAAAAGTTGGGGTCAGTGATGAAAATTTTGAGATATTGGTCAAAATGTGCGATTTTCAGGCAAAAAACGGTGTAAATTTTATCTTGACTTCTTTGATATATCTTCATTTCTTGGCAGAGTCTGTTGAATGAATGTGTAAAATTTGTTCTAAAAATATAGATTGAGACCTATATTTAATATTCCTAGCATATCATAACATAAAATATTCTCTTTAAGTAAAAATATGTGGGGCTAAAGTTCCAAGATATTAAATTTAACAAATATGTAGATTTGAAGAATTTTCTTCTAAATATTCTTCCACCACAAGAAATACTTTCTCATAAATCTTGCTTCTTTATGTATTTGTGAGCAGTTTTTTAATTGAATGTTGAATAATATGCATTGTTTAATTTAAACATGTTATAAAAATTGAATTGTAATAAATAGTTTTGAAGTTAAAGGTTCTGACTGAACTTTTCTAAAAAGCTGAAGAGTGACATACCTTAAGTTACATACAGATTTATGATAAAAGGAAATTTTAACAGCAAAATACAATTCTAAAAAATGCAGCTCATATTATTTTGAACAAAACACTGAAAATAATTCTTTTATTTTCAATCAAGACCAAAAATTATTCCCACAAATCATTATAAATGATGAGCCGAGCCAAATATGACATGAAATAATCTGTACGTACCACACATCTCATTGTTGTCATTAGGAATAGTCCCATTTGCACATGTTAATTTTTTCCCCACATATGTAGAATAAAGTAAATGTAATGGCATCACCTGTCAGTAAAAGAGAAACAAAATAGGTTTTTTTTTTCATTGAAGCAATTACACAATTCGAAATGAGCAACAAACACCATACTTAATAAGAATTTTCAAAATTTTAGTTAGCTTCTAACTTCTAACTTTGGTGTCTACACTATAAAGAAAAATTCGACCATAGCGAAGTTCTAAGGACCTGATAGCAGAATTTACTTCACTAAATCCATAATTCATTATATCTGTATAAGGAATAAATTACTACCAACCATGGGTAACTATACATTTCTGTTTAATGAAATTTTAATTCAAAATATTCTTAAGAAAAATGTATATTTACAGTTTTAAATTTTTTTGAATATTAGAAAATTCTTCATAGAAGTAAATTTTGCTATTTTTAACCTTTACGGGATAAAAGAAAACAATTCGCCACATTCATAAATATTTTATATCAGAGTTCGTTAACTTCGTAACATTTTAAAAGTTACATGTAAGAATGTTACCGAGGGCAGACCTGGAGTTATGGTTATGCGTAATTGTAATGTATTGTAATCATAACATTTTTCAAAGAAATTGAATCTTGTGTAGTGAATCCATCTTTTTTTTTACGTCAAGTAATTTGTAATATAATGCTTTACTCTCTTAAAAATGTCATAAATGGCAATAACTTTTCATAAACTTTTGAATTATATTTAATACTTTAATCTACTATAATTCTACTGAAATTGACAGAAATTTAAGTCACTGTCAGATGATTTTTATCAGTATTACATTCTCGAAATTAAAATCTCATCATACCTATATTTCTTTTTAAATTCTTTATTCAGTGTGATTTATAGACATCATAAATGCCTGTTTGAATTAAAAACTTTTTAAATTAATTGAAAATAGAAGGGAGCCAGGAAAAAATGTTCAAAACCATCAATGAGTTTCGAAGACAGACCCCCCAAAAAATTATATCAGTTCAGTTTATTGAGCTTTAACAAATTACCAATTTGCCATAAGTATTCATTTTACAATTCACAAAATTAATCCAGCTGAAATAAACTTGGTGGTTAAAATCGGTGTGATTTAGTAGAAGGTACAGAGAAAACTCGAAGCCTATGCCAACGTTAACATGATGTGTTCCCGTTTGCACACACTTGCTAATTAGATACAGTATATTAGGTGTGAACCATATTTTGATAACAATTAAAGTCTGCATTCTATCCTTGAAAAAATACAGGTACTTCCATGTAACCCAGGACAAAATGGCAGGGATTTACTTAGAATAACTTGTACTTTGCTGTTTATTGTAAAAAAAAAAAAGAAAAAAAAAGAAAGAAAGAAAAAATAGTGATTATTTATGTTTAAACCTAAAGTGATTATTTATGTTTTAACTTACCTATTTTTCATTTCATTTTATATTAAATAATGAATAATAATTTAAAGTTTTAATATTTTTCGTGTGGAGGATTGATTGATTAATTGTATGTTGTTTTACGTCCCGTTCAAGAATTTTTCACTCATACAGAGACGTCACCATATACTGGTGAAGGGCTTCAAGTTTAGACCTTTACTCGACACTGAGGGCTATTGAGCAGTAAGGGTTCTTTATCGTGCCAACGACTATCGGTTTTAAAGGTCCCATCCGAATGACCCGCAACTTTCACTTCAAAGTAAATTTTTAAATTTTTAGATGCTTCCTTTTGTGATTCTGACAAATAAATATCAATATAGTATTACTCATCTTATATTTTGAGCAAAAACTCTTTTTCGGAAATTGGAATATTTTCTTTGAAGTGCAAAAAACTGACGCTTTCCCATATAATCCTACAGTTAATTTACCTGTACATTGTATTTTGAGACGGTCCTTAAAAACACCCAGACAATAGATTTTCAATTAACTTGACATATATCCTAAAGTCAATGTAAATTACATATGATATAAAATTAAAAAGTTTTTCTATCGTAGTTTTCACACTATAAAACTCCAGTTGGCTCCCTTCAGAAAAAAAAATTGTAAATTTGCAATTTAAGGAGGCTCATTACACCATTCTTTGATGACGTACTACACAGAAAAATAAACCTCCATTGTTTCGCCCGTGTTCTCCTGGGGACGAATTGTACAGGTTCGCTTTGCTGATGATCTAAATCTTTAAAACCTCTTAAAAATAGACTACATGTGATGTTGTTAACAATGAGAACAAGGTAATGGATTCATTATAAATCACAAACGAAGAAGGGTTATTTTTAAGTAGAGACAAAAGAGAATGACAGTAAAATCTTTGCTACCCAAGTAGTGTATTATATCATAGCCAAAGAAGCAAGTTCTACCATTGACAATATGATCTACAAACCTCGTTGTAATAAATCATAATTGACTTGCGCTTTTAGAGTACTGTACTCTTGTTGGTTTGTTTGCTTGTCTTTATTTCCTCGAAATATGTATATTTAGAAATTTTAGCTTATTCTGAATCTGATATGTTCAACCGTTTCTGAGTGTTTTGAGTCAGGGGAATTTAGGAAAGATAACTCTTGCAAGTGGACTTTTTATTCCAATTATTTTTTTAAATTAGAATTTTCATTTCCTTAAAACATTTTTCATTCAATTTGTCACTTGTTATTCAATAATATATATTCCTTGTCTATGTACAACTCATTTTCCACATTATTCATGCAAAGATTAAGAAGATAATCACATTAATTCTATTTAAGGAGAAAATTATTTTTTCTAATAAAAATAATATTGAATATTATGAAGTGTTATAATATCACTTACATATCTTAAGATGATATCCATCACTTTACACTGAAATTTCTGCAATACTATCAATCAGAAACTTGAAATAAAACACTTAACCAAAATAAAAAAAAAAACATTAAAAATATTTTTAAAATATTTATCGTATCATAACCTCCATTTGGATATTTGAAATCTTCATATTAAGTGGTGCTGTAATGAAACCTAAAATAAACTGTGGGTGTAATGAGCCTCCTTAATTAATTATTTTTCTAAATGAAAGTATGGTAATGGTATTGTAATGGGAAAATTCTAAAGAAATTGTAATCTAATACAGCTACAATTGAAAGTTATTAATGTTTTGTACTGTGTACATGATGCTTTGAATAGCAGATTGTTTACGAACAAATGACATTATATGGACTTAATGTACCTGTGATGAATATTCTGTTTTCTGTGTGTGTATATCCTCTTGTAGAACGGTTTCAGTTCGTACTTTTTTTGCAGGCTCACTACTGTCTGTAACTATTGGACTAAAAGAACAGCATTATTTAACTATTTCAGTCAGTTTTACTGTTAATGTCAGTTATAATCAAAATCAAAACCTTACAGAATAAAACCCTCATTAAAGCATTCCTTACAAGTTCTAATATTAAAGTATTCTTTTTGTTTATAATACCCATATTTTCATAAAATGAACGCTGCCAGATTACAGTAGTTTATAAAATTTGTTCATACCTTACAACTGGGATCTCTACTTTAATATCGACATCAAAGCCATCCGCAGATCTTTTTTTACGGCTTGTTGTCTTGCATGCTTTTAAATCTACCTTTACAGACTGAAAACACTCACGGACGTTTACTTTGTTGCACATACTGGGATATTGCTTTGCTAATTCAATAAGCCGACTTATTACTTTTATCCTAACTTGTGCCAGGAACGCATTTTTGGCCTCTTCATCCGAACAATTCACACTCATTCTGTACTTAAGATTAAATGAATATCTCTGCTCCTTTGGTGGTACATATGTATCCGCTACATTTTCTGGAAAAAAAATCTGTATACATGTACTTGTGCTACAGAAAAGCAGTTTTAGAGTTTATTAAATAAAACCAGGGCTTAATATCTGTTGCAAACAGATACGTTAAAAGACCCTGTCGCAATTGAAAATTGACTATTCTCCATCTCCAATAAAGTAAAAATTCCCAAATTACAAGTAGATTGAAAATATCAGTGCATTTAACAAAGAAATCATTAATTCTGAGTTTATAATAGTTGGTGAACATGTAAATAAAGGAAAAGTCTATAATACTATTAACCGTCTTCATTCTACAGAAAAACATTGAAAAAAATATTAATTTTTCCAGATTTTACAGCTTTATTCAATTCAAAATTCATTGCATTGATATGAAATTATTATAGATCCCAGACTTGGGGTATTTTGCAGTTTTGTAGTGCAGATTCTTATCTTGAAGATGTTGCTAATACTTTTAACATTGTACAAAATACAAAGCAGAATGAACACATACTTTGATGTATAACGGGAAATGCATTATCCTCCGTTAGTATCTGTTGCTACGTGCGCATTAAAACAGACTTCGAAATTATTTCTTGATTTCTGATACGTTTGTACGAAAGCCTAGAAGGCTCATTCGAGATTCGAGTTTCGAAATACGAGATTCGAAATTCGAGTTTCGAGATTCAAGATCCAAACTAACCAATCAAAAGGCGGTTTAAAATTCAATTACTCCCCTTTGCTAAGTTTTGACCTTCAGGAAATCATTGAATATATTCAAACTGAAGAGGTTATTTAATTATATTACAATGCAAGAAAGAGTGTTATATATATCCGAACGAAATTAGAAAAAAGATTGGGTTTTTGGTCTGCAAAGTATGCTTTAATTTATATAATAATTTCTTAGATATTATAATAGATTTATATCAAGAATATCTATAGCGTATTATCTAGTTTGTTTACAGGTTTGAGATCATAATAATAAATATTGTTACTTAATCGGATTCAAAGAGCAAGGGGGGGGGGGGGGGGGGCTTATTGTAGTCGATGAGAATTAATAATGTGCAATTAAACAAGTGACTAGCGATTAATGATAAAAGTAATGCAGGTTTCAAAGTGGATATAGTTTGTGACAAGGCATTAGAAAGTGACCAGTGACCAATACGGGTTTCAAAGTGGATTCATTTTGTAGCAATGTATTAGAAAGGGACCAGTGTCTTAGTTTTTGAGACCAAGAGACCGCCCCTTAAGTACGCATGGCTGAAATATACATGCTTAATAAAGATAATAATTTCTCTTTGTTCAGGCCCGTAGGAAATAATAAAAATGTAATGTAAAGATCCCCCCCCCCCGAAAAAACAGGGCTTATCACGGTTGTGACGTTATTTTTGGAAGGACACAAGCATAAAGATGTTATGTTTTCTATAGTATTTTATATCGGTAAAAAATATATGGGGAATGGGGGGGGGGGGGGACACGTGCCCAGGGTCCTATGGCTATGTTGTTTATTTTATTACAACGGTAGACAAATGTTCGGTTAATCTTGCGATGGGCAAAATAATTATATATTCGATAATTATTTATAAGGAAACCGCTCGGGTCTCGCAAGATACATAACCAATCAATACACAAGTTCCAATACATGATATAATGGCCATAAAGAAAAAAAGATATAAAAGTCTTTAATAATGATAAAAAAAATTATTTTTTTAACAAAACAATGGACCATCTATACACCTTTAGGACTCCCAAAGGAGTTCGTATTAAAATTATTTAGTTCATTTGTGCCTTTTTAGTGTACACAGGAAATCTTGAAAGACATCGTAGTAGAGATAAAGAAAAATCGGGTTCGCTTTCTTAATGGTGTATATTCTGTATAGGCAATAAGGCTGTAGCCTACACATCATTTTCTTCCTGTAAAAAAAAATATTTATGCATACATGTATTTGGTTGAAAAATGGGTGAAAGTTGAACATAAATCTTATTTATTTACCAGTTACTGGAATATTTTTTCATCAAATGCAATAAAAGTATTTTTAGCAATCCACACTTTTATGCCTATCCAATTTTTACAGTATACAAAACTTTTAATTTTTATAGCTGGTTAAATCTAGAATTGAAATGTTATATTGAAGTCGATATCAGACTATTAAAAATGACAGCAACAGGAGTCTACGATTAGGACAGGGAATAGAAATTAGGAAATATGTTTTGAATAGTAGGAAGTCAAACATAAAACATTTTAAAAATTATATTTAGTTTATTCAGTAAAGAAGTTTCCATAATTTCCGAGCACTGTGTATGGATTTTAAAATTTCTCAATTTTATTAAGAGTGATCATGAAGATTTTAATTTCTGTATCATTAAAATATGTTTTTATTATTTATAATTATATTCACTGGAGAAAATGACAATGAGGAATGTATCCAAGATCGCAGAAAGTGGTCCTCCGACCGAACCCCCCCCCCCCCTATTGAGAGGGGCGACTCCCTCCTTGCCTATCCACAATTCGGCAATGATGCGCTTTTAGTAAAATCTCTAGCGGAAGGGAATATACACCACTGTTTCCCTATAGGAGAAATGCATAAAAATTAAGTTTTAAATTACTTATCTTGGTCTAAGGCTTTGAAAACTTGAATTTATTAAGAATTATATATGCAACACAAACTGGATTTTATTAAAATTTCCTATCAAATAGTAGATTAGTCTAACTGCACAAATGCAACTTTAAATGTAATTAAATGTATCCTTAATTAAATTATTGTGCAGTGTAAAGACCATCGTAAGTATTTCTCCCTCATCAATGTCCTTAGTAAATAATTTATCGACCTACTAATTTCGCAATTCAACGATACATATAATATTTTACATACATATCTATTGTTTTGTTTAATGAGGAAAATAAGATTTTATATATATTTTTCAAAATGTTACCCCAAAATTCATTTTTATTTCGTTCTGATACATATAACATTTTTTCTTACATTATTATTAAAGCAAATGACCCATTTGTTATAAATATATTCAGTGATTTCTTAATAGTAAAAACTTAATAAAGGGGAGTAATCAAATATTGAATCCGCCTTTTGATTGTTTAGTTTGGATCTTGAATCTCGAAACTCGAATTTCGAATCTCGTATTTCGAAACTCGAATCTCGAATGAGCCTTCTGGGCTTTCGTACGTTTGCAATGTATTCATTTCTAGATCCCCCTCCTCCTCTCCCTCTCTCTCTCTCTCTCAAAAATCAAGTTTTGCAAATTGTATGTTTTAAGAATTATAAAACCATAATTTTTAAAAAGTTATATATATGACTACCTTGCCGCTTGAAACACGATGATGACTTGGTTCCATTTGTGATATACCCTGTAGGACACATGATGCAGTGTTCCGAGATACTCCTATTGGTATAAAAGTCTTTTGGACACTCCTTACATGTACGAGAATTCCGATTAAACTCGGTGCCATCCTCACAAGATGCTGTTTTAAGATAAGAACAAATATCTGATGCTTGTTTTTTTTTATAAACGAAGTTATAGTTCAATATATGTAACATGAAGAACTGTCAATAGTATAACCTTTACCGTTTAGATTTAAATAGTCTTAGTAAAATGTGCGTTCATGCTGGTGAGATTTATTTCGAACCACCAGTACTTACATGAATTATTATATATAAAGCTTCATTCAAATCACACAGAAATGGTACGTAATTGTACAAAAGAAATAAATGAATAAATATACAGCTTTCACAGGGAACTTCCTTCATCCAGCCAAGCTGGCGTTTATTTTAATATCGGGTTATTATTTTTGTTCTGAAGATTATCATACTTTGAATTCTTTAGTGGATCAACATTTTGGAAAGTACACATGAATCCATTCTTTCGTCTCTCAGCATATGATATACATGTATACAGGTGACAAACACTACATAGATATGAATGGGTATGGCTGATACCCTTATCAGAATAAAACACTACATTACGGACTGTGATATAAACATGTATACTTCACTTATTTACCAGTACAGTAACTCTTAGATGCTGCGCCTTTAATTTCTGTAGTTGTACATGTATTCCTCTCCAAATCAATATATCCTGCCCCAATCGTGAAATAAATTCCATATCCAACAACAAAACATTGAATATCATTGAACATCTTGTACATATTTCATTTATTTACCTATACAGTAACTCTCAGAACGTGCTCCTGTGGTTTCTGTTGTGTTCTTTTCCGGAGGACATTTCTTACAGGAATTTTGCTCAATCTCGTCCTGGAACTCTCCAACAGGACAGCTTCCACATACAGTATCTGATATCACATATGTCCCTGGCAAACACACGGCTGCAAAACATTTTAATTACACTGAAACCGATTAACTCCATATTTTACCAGAGGGTGCTATAGACATTATAAAACAAAAGACAAGTGAGTCACCTAATTATAAATCAAATCTAATCCATGACTTTTTTTTTCGGTTGCTAATTATCCCGGTTAAATGAGAAAAATTATTTTTGTAACTTTTAAGCTGAATCCTTCCCGGACCAGAAAAAAATCTCATTTGTTTGTTGAAAAAAACCCATTTTTCTTGCACAAATAATATTTTTTCTCTCTCTCATTCTCTCTCTCTCTCTCTCTCTCTCTCTCTTATTTTTGCCAGCCTGAAGAATTAAAGAATCATGTATATTTCTATGTGTATCACTAATAACTTTGATATATCTGCTTCAAAATCTGACACCTTTGATCTTAAGAAAATTATAACTTTATATATTTGATATTTTCATTCCTTACGATTCTAAATATCACTGGACATGATTTTCAAACAGTAATAAAAACAAATAAGAAGCCAAAGGGCATTATTTTCATTTTTTTTTATAGACACATCATCGATATCTGATCTTTCCCCCCAAAAAAGGGATATTTTCTCTCCATATTTATTTGTTGATATCTTCCCCTTCCAATAAAGTTATCAATTCAGTATAATTATGTTCTTGCACTTGTATAACTTGACTCCTGATTATATAATTTTATCTATTTTCTAAATTCGATGGCAAAAAGAAAATTAAAATCAAAATTAAATTTAGAAGGGGATCCCTTTTCTTGCTTACAAATGTTACACATCAGTCCTTTCCACAGATAAGAACAGTTCTTGCAGCTTCCTTTAAAACGATCACAGGTTTCACCATCAAAACAGTTTCCACTACATATTTCCAGACAGTCTTTTCCGTATTCCCCGCTGTCACATGCTGTAAGAATGCATAATATTTATTCATTTATTCATTCCTTTGCTTAGTAACTTCCTTTTTATGAGAAACTAAACAAACAGCGATGTTTATCCTCAAGCAAATATAAACAGGTTTTTTTCCTACAAAGGTAATAACAAGATTGTTCCAACACAAACAGACGAAAAATAAGTTGATGTGAGTGACCTAGAAAAAATATAATAGCGGCGATGTGTACTTTGTGGATTATTAGGTAAGGGATTATATTTTTTAATAAGAAAAATATGTAACGTTAAGTGCCTGTGTGTTCCAAGGAACGCATGTTTCACCAGTTATGACATTATTAGAACTTAGTGTACTCAACTATTTGCATATTTTACATGCACTTGTCCACCGATAGTAAAATTGCAATAAAATAGTATCATCATAAGAGTGACAACCAAATGGAGATTTCATTTAGCAATCCTCAAAGCTGGAAAAAATTAAAACTGTTAGAAATAATTATTTTTGATTTATTCATTCGTGTTTATTTCAACAATTCCTCAGATTGGCAACTTGAGATTTCATACTAACTTCGGTTTTAATGCAATATATTACGAGGTAAATTTTTGACAAACAAAATGCTGAAACAAGAATATCAGCAGTCTCGCTTAAAGTCATTATTTCGTAAGTTCTATGGTTGATATAATGACCTTGTCAGCAAATACAATCTTTCATTAAGTCAAATGCTGACTGACTTTTTTCATACTAACGGACGGATTTTCCGTAATTTCCCGATCATGACAAGGAGCACACGGTGGGTGTGATCGGTCGGCAGGGGATGCTCACTCCTCCATGGCACCTGATCCCACCTCTGATGTCTTAGAGGACCGTGTTTGCTCTGCTCCTATTTTGTAATGTTTAATGGACTTTTGAGCTCGAATACTGTTCGTTATCTCCACATATTTCATTTACATCCACTGAATTTTATCTCCTTTATTTCTCAAGAAAACCGTTAGCGTTTATCAGTCAGTAAATACCACTAAGCAAATCACTTCTACAGATTTCATGAGCAGTGGCTGTTCCATCAATGAAACGTACAATGACGTACATATCAATATTACACTATTTTATCAACTAAATCCTACTTTAATTGATTATTTGTACATATATAAATATAATCAATAAAATGTTTTTTGTTTGTTTGTTTGTTTGTTAGTACGGGAATTAGCATTGCAGCTAATGCAGAAAAAATACATAACCCCCTTACGCGTGTTATGCATTTATACTGCAACAGCTGCAACATAAATTCCCATATTTCCAGCCCAAGAATGCATTCCATTGTTTAATTGTCAGCAAATAACAATACTTAAAGTACTCTCTCGACTCAATTTTATAGTACTCATGAGCAAAGACAATCGGGTATGGTTCCCCCTTTCCATTTTCCAACTTCTAAATCAGGGATTTATATATTTTTTTCCATTCGTGCATTCTGAGTAATATGCGTTACATATTACCGATAATGTAACCCTTTCAAGATGTTTTTAAATATCCCATTTTCGACTCATAGTATACATTAAAAGAAAAAAAAAGACTTGCAGATCGTTCCTCGTCGTCTGCCTCATCTCGTGCTAGACTTCACGTGACTGTACATGAAAGTCTAAAACATGGAATATGCATACATCGTAAAAAAATTGTTACACATCTTCCTTTTCTTTCATTCTTCCATGTTATTTCTAATTACCACCCGTTTCTAAACATTTCAGTTCAAACACTAACATCTAGGGTAAATTTTGTTGGTCTGCTGCACAGGAAAGTTTTTTTCCAAACAAAAATTTTCTTATGAAATGTTTCTAACAGAAAAAAATTAACGTGGTCCATGAAGTATTTCTGACTATTCATTCTATTCAATTTTTGAATGTTTTAGGATTTACTTATACTTACAAATATTACACAAAGGTCCTTTCCATCCGGCAGAACAATTACTACAGTTTCCATAGAAACGATCACAGGTTTCATCATTCCAACAGTTTCCACTACACCTCTCTAAGCAGTCTTTACCATATTCTCCGCTTTCACAAGCTGAAGTATATGAGAGGTATTATTTGTTATTTCAAACAGATATTCTTTTAATCTTTCTTTCCAAAGCTTTCCTCTTTCATTATTCTGAAAAAGAAAAATCATCCACAAGTTAAACTGTAAACCTTTCAAACCATCTTTAACATGGTTTATTTTTTTAAATTAAGAAATAAAGCAAGAAAACGACATTTGTCAACTTTTGAAAACTTTATTATTCAAATTTTCTTAGGGCAGGTCTACTCTTGTAAATGTTTGGTACGGTAACTTCACCATGCATCGGACACCCTCGTACTTCAAGAAGTCCTAGCGACATCGCTACCGACCGAATATAATCAAAATGGAACTTAACATGTAGTATGTGATTAAAATATATTAAACTTGTGACACAAAAACATGGTATTTATTGAGGAAATGTCATTAAAAACGATTTTTTTTTAAGTGAATTCACCATGGATCGGACAATATTCACTATGCATCGAAGAAAGGGTATTTTGAACCGAAATAAAATGTCATACCTTTATCTCGGTGGTTTTAAATTAGTGATATGAAAATATTTTAATATTTTATCTAAAAATCAACTTTTTAGTTTAATTTGATTGACTATATCAATCTACAAATGTGGAGAGATTTTAGTTGCATCCCTTTGCTTTAGAAAGGTTTTATAATGCTAGTAATATGGTAATATGGTCCAGAGTTATCATCTTCTAGTTTTTAGAAGTAAATTGAGTCCACTTTTAGTCGTCATATACCGATAAATTGTATTTTCACTTACTATTTAGAGTTTTTATTTTCTATTTCCGCAAAAAAAAAAAAAAAAAAAAAAAAAAAAAAAAGACAGCCGACAGGTTCTATACGAGATCGAAGATTTAGTGGTTACAGATGCATCGAAAAGTGTCCGATGCATGGTTAATTTTTGTCCAATACACGGTGAATGAACATACAAGTAAAAAACAACTCTAAGAAAATTTATACAGACTTTCTGAAAAAATTCTGTAAAATTATCTATCATTGACACATTTCACCTTATACCAACTTGTTCCCTCGAGTCTAATAAAAGGAACACAACTCTAGAAAAAATTCTGGTTACTCCTCTTTAATGATGTCAAATATAACGTAACTTCAAGGCCATTCTCGTGGTATTTTTATCACAGCATGATAATAACTTTCAGCATCATTAAAATGTTTAAATCTTCAGCTTAAAGATGGAAACAAGTTAAAACACAGAGACATTTAGGAATGATGCAAGTTTATTTTTTATAGTTGTCCGAAGCAAGGAATGAGTCCAATGCATGGTTAACTAACCCTATATTTGGAAACGTTTTATCGCAATTATGTTGGCAAAGATTTTAACAGAAAGAGTGGTAACAATTCTCTTTTGCCTTACGAATTAATTAGTTCTTCAAAAGAGAAAGGCTTTCTTCTTACTTACAGACATTACACATAGGACCTTTCCATCCAGCAGAACAGTAACTACAGTTTCCATAGAAACGATCACATGTTTCACCATTCAAACAGTTTGCACTACACTTCTCTAAGCAGTCCTCTCCATGTTCTCCGTCATCACAGGCTGAAAGAATAAAATCATATATTACTGTAAGATGGCCACCCTGGAATAGGGGCTTTACAATATACAATTATGTACTTATGCAGCATTTCGAAAGGTCACTCTGTAATTCTTCATTTATGTCTCTCAGTAAGGACAAGTTTTGTTTTGGTCGGTGGAATCAACCGTGCATTCAAGGGTAAAAAAATGATTTGGAAATAACATAAAATATTGATTCTGATTGCATTAGAAACGAACTCCAGTGGTGCTTAGTGTATTTAAAGTCAAGAATTTTACTTGTGGATCAATTCCTTTAAAACCTTTCTCCAAGGTTCGTGCAAGCACGTTTTGATTTTAGAGGAAGGTCTGTCTTCGTTTCAGTGTCTTTCATCGTTTCTTTTGTTCGTTCATTGCTGCGTGCATTATTTCATTCTACTCGTCCAAAAAATGTTCGCAACTGTTCTTGAAGAGAAAGTAACTGGTCTTGCGGATGACACCTTAAAAACGCACGGCCTGTTTCGCGGCAGGCGTTTGCACGATAAAAGTGCTCCATGGCCCCAAGTGTTGAGTAAAATGGTTAATTTGAAATCTTTCACTGGTATATGGTGCCGTCTCATATAAATGATATAATCTTGCAACGGACGATAAACATCAATCAATAAATATAATGAAAAATATCATTTACTATTCCAATGAAATGCGTTCTAGTATTTATTTTAAACTGGTCCCATGCCAGAGACAATAACATACATACAGTATATCTATATCTAGTCATCTACAGCTTTTCTGATTACAGTTACTATAGTACATTGTAAATTGCAATTCAACTTGAAGTTCCAAGCACATCAGTAGCATCAGCTTTCTTATATTCAGTTTACTTTGCAAAGTATTCTTAACTTAAAAAAAAATATTGCACTGTTACTACATTGACAGGTAAATCAAATTTACATACATGTAATTTAAGTGCAATTTAGTTTTGTTTGTTTGTTTGTATGTTGTTTAACGTCCCTCTCGAGAATTTTTCACTCATATGGAGACGCCACCACTTGCCGGTGGAGAGCTGCAAATTTTGTCCTATACTCGGCACTTACGGCCATTGAGTAGTGAGGGATCTTTTTCGTGCCATCACCTACTGCGACACGGGATCTCGGTTTATACGGTCTCATCCGAAGGACCGGTCTCCACGTCCCACAGTGCCATCGTAAAAATAGCATTTATGAACCTAAATGTGTTTTTGACAATCATTGTAAAGGGAGAGTTATCTCCTACTTAAGAAATAATTAGGAAGAGTTATCCAATCTTGCTCACTGCTAGGGGGCATCTCAAACAGAAACTAGAAATATGTCCATAGGACATGAATGCCCCGCGGGAGGTATATTAGCAATGCAACATTTTAACACAAATTGAGAAAAGTGAGGTCAAGGTCAAAGGAAAGGTCAAGGTGAAAAAATATTGATGCAGTTGAATAACTTACATTAGTATGTATCAGCATATGAAGTTTGACACAAATTTAAGAAAAGTGAGGTCAAGGTCATGAAAGGTCAAGGTCAAAATTGTTTATGCAGTTGAAAAGGTGACATCAGTAAGTATTAGCATATGAAGTTTGATAAAAATATTATGAATGGTTTTTAAAACTGAGCTAAACACTTATTTAAGAAAAGTGAGTTCAAGGTCAAAGGAAAGGTCAAAGTCAAAAAATATTGATGCAGTTGAATAGCTCTCATCAGTATGTATCAGCATATAAAGTTTGACATTAATTTAAGAAAAGTGAGGTCAAGGTCAAAGGAAAGATCAAGGTCAAAAAATGTTAATGCAGTTGAATAGCTCTCATCAGAATGTATCAGCATATGAAGTTTGATTACACTTACTTGAATGGTATCTTTAAAACTGAGCTAAACACTAATTTAAAAAAAGTGAGGTCAATGTCAAAAGAAAGGTCAAGGTAAAAAATGCTGATGCAGTTGAATAGCATACATCAGTATGTATCAACATATGAAGTTTGATTACACTATCTTGAATGGTATCCTTAAAACTGAGCTAAACACTAATTTAAGAAAAGTGAGGTCAAGGTCAAAGGAAAGGTCAAGGTCAAAAAATGTTGATGCAGTTGCATAGCTCTTATCAATATCTATAAGCATATGAAGTTTGATATACATTTTGGATAGTTTCTTTGGAACTGAACTTTAAACAAAGCTAAACGCAAAGTGTGACGGAAGGACAGAAGGATGGAAGACGGATTTGACAAACACAAACACTATATGCCCCGGCCATATTCATGGCGGGGCATAACAAACGAGAGAGAGTCACGCTGATATTGTAGCTGGAAGTTTTTTCACAGTTGTTCAGCTGATGTGTGTTTTTTCAGCTACCAGCGTGTTGAATCGTAAGTTTTGAGGAGTTTGCAATCAAAGTTGGTGCATGGACAATTAGGAGATCTGTAGAGACAAGAACATTTGTATTTTCTTAACTGTGATAGAAAGCGCGCATTCAGCGTGGGGTGTTACGCAATATGTAAGAATACGTTCCTTGCTTTTTGACTATGTTACCGAGGTAAAAGTGTACTCAGTAGAAATACCTATTTTTCAGTTGTTTGAACTCAATTTTTTTTCTCAATTTGAGAATTTATAAATAATATTCCACTTGGCTTGGAACTGTGGTAAATTTAGCCGTGCATGCTGATTGGCCGATTTTTACAATGGAATGCAGATGTAAACAAAACTGTCGAGAATGGTACGTGTGCTGATTATTGGGAGTTCACATGTTTTACATTTACAGTCATCGAAAGCAGAATTTAAGAACTTTGGCTTGTTGATTTTTACGGTATATCGGGGGCTCGGATTACAAATTTTCAACATGTTAAAAAAACTCGAAGATGCGATTCATGCATCCAAGCCTGATGTTGTGATTATGCAAAATATGTGGAAATGATTTAGACTCGTGTGAAATGTGTGGAAGTGAAACTGGGCGGAGGATCTGGCTAGAGAAATAAATTGTGCCTCTTGCTGTGACGATGCAGAAATTATCTTAACAGGTGATTTTAATATAGACTTATTCAAAGACCCCCCACAAAGTTGGACATATGCTTTAGAAGAGTTTGGTTTTTGACAATTAATTACAGCACAAACCAGAGTAACTGATACCTCAAGTACCCTAATAGATCACTTTTACACCAATAAACCAGATAACATGTGTGAAGTGAATGTACCTTATATAGCCATCTCTGATCACTGCCCAATATGTGCCTGTAGAAAAACTAAATGCATGCAGCAAAAAGGAAAACACATAGAAATTCAGTATAGAGAATTCAAAAAGTTTGATGAAAATAAATTCCTCCAAGACTTAAAAGATGTAGACTTTAACAATCTCCTCCAGATGCATGACCCTAATGAAATACTAACTGAATTCTACGAATTATTTAATAGCGTACTTAACCAGCATGCACAAGTTAAAACCAAACGAGTAAAGAGTGAAATCCGTCCTAAATGGATGACACAAGAAATAAACGATGCTAGACACTTACGTGACTCTTACCACAAAGAAGGAGATATGGAAAACTATAGACTTTATCGGAACAAAGTTAGTCTTCTTATAGATAAATCAAAATCTTCATACTATAAAACAGCGATTGAACAGAGTTCAAATCCCAAAGAAATGTGGAATTATCTTAATCAATTAAAATGTAATTCAAAGAAAGAACTCCATCTCATGTGTTTTCTAACGGGGGAATTATTGATAATTTACAGGATATTGCAAATACTTTTAATAACCACTTTTCAGATGTCTCAAACAAGCTTCTTTTGAAAATGCCAAAACATGAGTATGATCCAAATATACTACGTAATTTTGTAAGGTCTAAGCTTGATGATGAAACCTTTTTTAGTATTCATCTAATTGAGGAAAGTGAAGTTTTTCACATGATAAATTCTCTTAATATCAATAAATCAGCTGGCGTTGACTTTATTGGACCGCGTCTTTTGAAAGTCGCATCTAAATATATATGTAAACCTATAACTCATCTTATTAACGCTTGCATAGTAAGTGGTTTTTTCCCGACAAATTGAAAACAAGCCAAAGTAACACCTATTTTTAAGAAAGGTGACAAAGCTGACCCGAGTAATTATCCTCCAATTTCTATTCTACCGACTATATCTAAATTGATAGAAAAAACATGTACCTAAGCTAATACAAAATTTCACTAATGAATTTAATCTACTAACACAATCCCAGTCGGGGTTTAGAGAACTCCATTCGTGTCAAACTTCACTTACAAAACTAACAGAAAGTTGGCTTAATGCAATGGATCGTGGTGATCTAATCGGTATTACATTTATAGATTTTAGTAAAGCATTTGATTTGGTGAATCATAATATTCTTCTAGAGAAATTAATCCATTACAAATTTGACCATACAGCTATAAAGTGGTTAAGTCATATCTTTACGACAGGACCCAGTGTGTTAAATTTGGGACATGTGTCTCCAATATTTTATCCGTCACAGCAGGAGTACCACAGGGCTCAATTTTGGGTCCACTTTTATTTTTATTGCACATAAATGACCTTCCGTTACATGTAAACAATTCAAATATTTATATGTTTGCTGATGATGTAACTCTGTATTCTAATAATCATAATGCAAGATGTTTAGAAAATACACTAAATTCAGATCTTTGCGAGATTGAGAAATGGTGTGCTCAAAACCAAATGGTATTTAATGTAGACAAAACAAAATGTATGCTAATGGGGACACAGCAAAGAAAATCAAAACTAGATAATCCAAATTTTCAACTTTATGCCTCAGACAAAACAATTGAAATGGTTGAAACTGAGAAACTTCTTGGTGTACATATTGAGGATAATTTACAGTATGCAAATCATATTGATTCAGTTTGTAAAACCATAAACTATAAGTTATTTACTCTACGTAAGATAAAAAAATATCTTCCCCTACATACCAGAAAACTATATTACAATGCTTATATTCTACCATCTATTAACTATTGTTTGACTATTTGGGGTAATACCCCCAAGCAGGACATAGGTAGACTATTTAAATTACAAAAAAGGGCAGCCAGGATTATTCTTGACGCAAGTCCTGATTCTTCTTCTAAACCACTGTTTGAGAAACTTGGATGGTTAACAGTTTATGAGCTAGTTGATCTATACAAATACATATTATTATACAAAATTTTCAGCGGAATGACTCCCGAATATCTTTGTAATTTATTTGAATTTCACTCCTCAGCTTCTTATAACCTGCGATCGGAAAGTAATTATGACCTTAAATTACCTAAGTTCCGTACAAACGTATTCAAGACCTCTTTTCAGTACTCAGGTGTGCACTTACGGAATAATCTTCCCCAGCACATAAGACTCTCTCAATCTCTACGAGCATTTAAGTGTAATGTAGAAAATTACATTATCAGCAGTCGTACAATTATTTGAGCACAGTAAGATTTTGATATCCTATCTACAATGTGATTGTTAGTTGTATGTACATATTACCAGACATGGACACTCTATTCATAATTTTGTGATTGTAATTCCTTAAGACTATATCTGTTTTATGTTGAATTGTATATTTACATGTGTACTTGTTTATCTTTGTAATTGACATACAGAAGGCCCTGAGGAAGAATAGTGCATGCACTAACCAGGTTACCTTCTTTATATAAAGTTTTATTATTATTATTACATGCATGTAAATTTGTCAATGGATACAGACTAGTCAATAAGATAATTACTTTAGACCAAGAGGTTTTGTTTGTATGTTGTTTAACGTCTCTCTCCAGAAGTTTTCACTCATATGGAGACGCCACCACTTGCCGGTGGAGAGCTGCAAATTTTGTTCAATACTCGGCACTTACGGCCATTGAGCAGTGAGGGATCTTTTTCGTGCCAGCACCTAATGCGACACGGGACCTCGGTTTATACGTTCTCATCCGAAGGACCGGTCTCCACGTCCCACAGTGGGATTCGAACCCACGACGTAAGGATCAACTCCTTACTCCGCGACTCTAGAGCAGACGCTCTAACCATTGCGCCACGCGGGCGACTCGTTTTAAAGTTAAGAATAAAAGTTTGTAGATCTCTTTAACGGTTGGGGGCTCTGAGATATTATGTATTAACGCCCCACCAGAAAACGTTTTGTACATATAAAGAGGTTTTTGTGGAAATCCGATAGGGCCATGTAGTTCACTATCGCACCATCGGGCATCGACTAAAGGGCCGATGGCGCGATAACGCGATGGCGCGATGAAGATGAAGCGCTGGAGTGATGACGACGACGCGATGGTCCGATAGCACTGACGATGATGCGATAGCCCAACAATGCGACGGCAATGGTGCGATAGTACGATGGAGTGATAGTGAACATCGACATCGCTTCATCATTTTCGTATCATCGCTTTTTTGTCATCACACCGTCATGTCATCGCTATCGTACCATCGACTCATCGCTTCATCGTGCTATCGAATCATCGACATCGATTGTCGCGCCATCGTATCATCATTATCGCGCTTTCGCTCCAACACTTCTTCGTCATCGTACAATCACTTCCTCGTAGTCGCATTATTGCATCATTTCACTATTGGCCCAAACCTCGATGGTGCTATAGAGAACTACAAGGCCCTATCCGGATTCCATAGGATTTTATCACAAACATTATATTGGCACACTTTCAAACAATTAAAATAATTCTGGTCCATATAGACTTCTTTCTATTCCTATGTCTTAAAGGTTATTGTTAGAATAGATGTTTTATCTATACATGTACTTACACACATTACACATGGGACCTTTCCATCCCGCAGAACAGTGACTACAATTTCCATAGAAACGATCACAGGTTTCATTATTCAAACAGTTTCCACTACACCTCTCTGAGCAGTCTTTTCCATATTCATTGTTTTCGCAAGCTGAAAAAGACACTGCAATTATCTGTACATGTTTCATTCATACTGACATACATGTACATGTACATGATTAAGCTTATAAAGGATATTCATTTGCGTATTCGAGTGGTTCTTTTCCAATGAATAATAAGATCCGCCTACCTGCAAAAGAGGTAAAAGTATTCCTTTAAAAGGAATGATCGGTATTGGATATCAATAGTCAGCATCATGAAATGTCTTGAAATAAGTTTGTTTTTCTTTTGTAGTTGGTTAGACTATTGTAAAAATCATCGTTTATCAAATTTATTTTAAATGACTTAAAATTAATATTTGCTTTCTCAGAATGTAATTTCTTTTTTTTTCTTTTTTTTTTTTATTTAAAATTATTCCCCATTATAAAATGTGAAAATAAAGTAGAGATTTGATTCCTCCACCCTCAAAGCTAAAATTAATTAATATTGTTCGAAACAATAATTTTTGATTTATTCATTCATGTTTATTTCAACTATTCCTCAGATTCGAGAGATTTCATACTGGGTTTATTTCTACTGCAATATTGTCAGCCCACAGCTATACTTAAATTACTCTCCCGACTCCCTATCCCGATTTATTATAGGATTAATCGTTCTTTTTGAAAAATTTATCCATGTGAAAACTCTTGACATTTTACTCACAAACTAGATAAAAGTGCGAAGTACTTTTATGTTAAGTTTGTAAGTAAAATGTCAAGAGTTTACACATCGATAAATTTTTCAAAAAGAACGTTTAATTCTTATAATTCCAATTACGAAGTTTAAAATTATTTCTCTTTGGAGCCTGCATACAATCCTTTGTTTTAGGAATGACTCTAATTCTTGGCCAAATTATTCGAGTATAACCTGGTTTGGGTCAGTTTACGCTTTATAATCCGCGAAGCGGATTATAAAACACCGTAAACTGACCCAAACCAGGTTATACTCGAATAATCTGGACAAGAATTAGGGTCATTCCTTATAATTTAGTTTTAAAATCATTAAAAAACTATGGGTGTAAAATTTCGTTGCTTTTTATTAGTTCAAATTTGCCGCTCAATAATACAACCGTAGTAACGGAAGTGATGGGAAGCGAGGGGAGGTAAAAACTGATACACAGGCCTAGCAGCATTGTTGTTTGTTTAAATGTGGTAAGATCAAATTATTGTTTGAAGTTAAAGGTACATTTATTAAATCTGGAATTTTCCATCAATTCCGAGGACAGGAAATGAGAGGTATGTATGGATACAGATGATTCAGCTGGTTCTCAGGGAGGTGTGTCCCCATACCAAACCAGGTTATACAGAAATAATTTGTGTTTCTTTTTGAATATTAACCAACCAGAGGCTAGAATACAAACAAAATTAAATTATTTCTGAATACAGCGTGGGAATATTTTATGTCGCTATGTGGAAATGAATCGATAAAGTTTAACTTAAATTGTAAAAAAAAATCAATAAAACAAACTTATAAAAACTCTTCGACGAATATCGTAAATACAAGTAGACTTTAGAAGAATTCGTCCTTGACCATGTTGACATTAACGACAGACGCTCTAAAATAAAAGTGGCATACCGACGACACCCTTGATTTGCTCTGGTTTGTTTAAAGACGGGACAGAATATAGGATGTAGAAATATGAATTTGATGCTGATAAGGCAAGATTCTGAGGTACGTTTCTCTTTCCTATCAGCTACCGCGAACTGAGCTGATTTGCTTAGCATTTAGGAACGACGATAATATCCTAAAACGTTAGAGATTTTTACTCGTGATCTGACAGTGACATAAACATAACATTCCCGTCTGTCAGTCCTGTATGTCGTCAGTATTGCTTTTATTCAATTTAAAGTTTTTGTAATCGTTTAGCTAAAACGAACTAAAAGTAACGATTTGTTTCAGTTTTTTTTTTTTACCAAAAAAGCTACATGTAGGACAAGAAAGTACTTCTGGTCTGGTTGAGAGATTTATCGATGTGTAAACTTTTTCTTGAATTTGCTCTCGTCCAATCAAAACACAGGAAATCAATCAATAAAATTAAATTGAAATTATTTAAGAAATAAATTTAATTTTTAAAGATTCATGAGGACATAAACTACGACGCTTCATGCCGGCATATTTCATGAAGCGCGTTAGCGCTTCATGATAAATATGCCGGCATGAAGCGTTGTAGTTCATCTACCTCATGAACTTTCAAAAATCAAATTCATTTCTTACGAGGGGTTATCAAAAAGTTCGTGGACTGACGCGATAAAATTAATAATATGTAGTCTTTGCTTACAGAATTTATGCGGAACGTAAAACAACAAAAGTTTAAGAAATGTTGAAAATTTCAGCTTGATACGTTGATAATTTGCCAAATTATTCTGAAATTAAAAAGACTTTATGTGATCACCCGGCGCTGTCGCCGTTTAGTGTCATGACGTCCGCTTAACGTCATTGTTTCTTAATGTCCGCTCTCTCTACCTCATACACACTTATCTTGATGAGATTACCTGGAGTTAAGTAAGGACTTAAACCCGTCTTATTTATATGAATTTAAAATGTCATGAGCAGCTGTTTTCAATGCATATAATATTGTAAATTGATCTTTATATGGGGAAAGATCCTCACTTGATTATGCCAGAATACTTAGATTGTTGGAGTTCAATTTCTAACACACATGATCAACGTCACTTTTCGACGTGACTGACTTTTGACACCCTGACTCCAGTTTAACATTCCTTAGGTCAATACCAGTTTTTCCAGGAGCGAAACTCTATAGAGTGTTTGAAAAAGAATCCCCTCCCCCCTTTTGACGTTATTTTCAAGCCCATAATTGTTTGGACACTCCATATAAAATTTACGATAAAATTTCATAGAAATTACAAAATGGGGTAAAAACTGTAAATTATACTGAACAAATGTGTTGTATCACATGCCTGAATTAACGAGATTTTTTGATGACAAATACTCATATCTAAAGAGTTTTTCTCAGTTACACTCAGGTAGAAAAAAACGTCATATTTGAGGTTGCGCCGCCTGGACATACCTTTGCTTACAAAAACACTAACAATTTATTAAAAAATAAAAATTATGATTTATGGTTTATTCTATAGATAGAAAAGATGATGCGAACTTAATGTGTAAAAATTCATTGATGTACTAAAAGCGGTTTTAATTTTATGACGCTAGTCCACGAACTTTTTGATAACCCCTCGTATATTTACATTATTTTCTGATGAGTTGCCACAAATTACGCCATAATCAAGTACGGCATTATGACGTAACAATGGAGATATTCATGCTCATCGTTGGTAGTTCATGAGAAAATGAATAATCTTCTAATTTGCAATGAATCTTAAGGAAAAATATTTGGAAAGGTAAATATTGTCATATGAATCACCGATATTCTTTTAAATTTCCATTTTTTGGTTAATGTGTATCAAACAATTTTATAGTAGTCATGAGCAAATTCTCTTTGGGTTGGGAAATCCACCCTTTTTTCCATTCCGCAGGTATGATAAGGCAGTACCCAGATCATATTTCGGTGAATTTAGACTTTTTCTCGTAAAATGTAACATTGAAAAAACGGTAAAGCCATAGATAAAACATTTAAGGAATGTTTTTAAGTTTTGTGTGAGTTATTGGTGTGTAGATCACACAGACTTGTCACATAGACATATTTCATGAAGCACCAATAATTCACACTAAAATTAAAAACATTCCTTATATTTACATTTTATATGTTTAAATGCACCAAAAATATACTCAATGTTTGAATTTCTCGCTGCCCTATATCGTCAAACACAGCAAATGTAAATATTTAAGGAATGTTTTTAAGTTTTGTGTGAGTTATTGGTGTGTAAATCACACAGACCTGTCACGTAGGCATAGCGCACTTCATGAAAAATATGCCTACGTGCAAGTCTGTGTGATTTACACCAATAATTCACACTAAACTTAAAAACATTCCTTATATTTACATTTTACAAGTTTAAAAGCACCAATGATATAGTAAATATTTGACTTTCTTGCTGCCCTTTATCGTTACATTTTTATTGACGTCTCTGTAGCCTCATTGTGACGTCACTTTAGCGCGGGTTTCTCCGTGTATATTTCTACGCGTGAGTATACACAAAAATGGTTTTCAAATCAATTTCACAGTTGGCTTAGTAGAAAAACACAGCAAATTGGAAAAGCTATAGATAAAGCATTTACTATTATTATCCTTTGTATAGACACCATTGAGTCTTAGGCTAAAAGAAGCACTCCACTATCACGTCCATTAATAGAAAAATTACCTTAATGAAAAAGTGAAAGGTTCAACACCATCCCGGAAATAGTTCATTCTTTTTGTGAAAATAATTATGTAAAAACATCATTCGGTCATGAAAAGCGCTGCTAGAATCCTACTCTCCCGACACAGAAAAATTTTTTCCAAAGTTTCGCAAGAAACCTTAATTTTTTTTTTTTTTACAATTTGTACATACGATCAAGGAATTGTCATCTGTTAATGTTAACCACATGATTCTAGCAACACTTTCCAAGATCTTTAGAATACAAGCTTTCGAAAAAAAAAAAAATTATGTTTCAAAGTATGCGGCTGTAGTGTTGCACTTTTGGCATCTTTGTTGTTATAACGACAGAGGAAAGGCTGATCTGCGTCTGTTCATTATACGAAAATATGATAAGAGAAAATCAGCGTACCTGATTCTCAATCTTTAATTCCTTGTGAATCACATATAACATTCACGGTAAATGCTTTAAAATTCCCATTTCATATATTTGTTTACATGAATTCTCGTCACGCTTAATTTTCACTCGGCAAATATTTGATCACTACTTATGACGTCATGGGTTTGGTATTTAACCCCCGTGATGAATACTTAGCTATTTATACCATCCAAAAACGACAAAATTTAGTTCATACAGGGTGTCCCAAAATATATACCATTTGAAACACCTGCCACAAACACATCCCTTGGCCAATTTCTTTGATATATGTCTCGAAAAATATTTGATTAAGTACAATTT